AAAGGTGATACAATACAATGGGGAAATTTTCATACATTGTTATTAATAACACACACAAGTAAAATTTTGCTGACTAGAATTAAAAAATGGTTGCAGCCATACATCTACAGGGAACTGCCAGAAATCCAAGTTTGATTCAGAAGACATGGAATGAAGGACATCATTACGATATCAGATGGATCTTGACTGAAAGTAGAAAATACCAGAAAAATATTTGCTGTGTTTCATTGAGTATAAAAAAGGCATTCGACCACGTGGATGATAGAAAACTATGGATAACATTGTGAAGAACAGCAGTTATACATACTTCATTGTGCTCATGACGAACCTGTACAAAGAACAAGAGAAAGTCCTTAGAACAAAACAAGGGATATGGAATGGTTTAAAGTCAGGAAAGGTGAGCAGTTGTGTTTATCCTTTCGCTTTACCTATGCAATTTGTATGCTGAGCCAATAATCCAAGAAGCAGGATTATATGGAGAAGTACATGGCATTAAGATTAGAGGAAGAGTTATTAACAACCTGCAATATGCAGATAACACAACCTTGCTTGCCGGAAGCAAAGAAGCCTTAAAACACTTACTGATGAAAATCAAAGACTACCACTTTCAGTACGGATTAAACCTCAACATAAAGAAAAGAAAATCCTCACATCTTGACAAATAAGTAACATCTTGATAAATGGAGAAAAGATTGCAGTTGTCAAGCATTTCACTTTACTTGGATCCACAATGTCCATGGAAGCAGCAGTCAAGAAATCATAGGACACATTGCGTTCTGCAAATGTGCTGCAAAAGACCTCTTTAAAATGTTTGAGAGCAAAGATGTCACATTGAAGACTAAGATGTGCCTGCCCCAAGACATACTATTTCAATTGCTTCATGTACATGTGAAAGCTGGACAATGACTAAGAAAGACAGAAGAATAATTGAGGCATATGAATACGGTGTTGGAAAAGCATATCAAATATACCATGAACTGCCAGAAAAAATAACACATTTATTTTGGAAGATGTACAGTCAGAATTCTTAGAAGTGTGAATGAGGAGACTTTATTCATATACTTTGGATATATTATCAGGAGTAACCAGTTCCTGGAGGAGGACATCATACTTGGTAGAGGGTAAGTGAAAAAAAAGATGTTCCTCAATGAGATAGATTTACAGAAAGCAATTCATGTACCCTTGACCTTTGAGGTAGACAATGGGAAGGACAAACACAAATCTTCTAATCCTGAATCCAAAGCTTCTTAGAATCACATAAGCAAGCCTTGACATCTGACACCAACTGCTATATAAGTTTCCAGTTTCCTCTCCTATCTCTGGGGAAGCTCCTGAAAAACCTGAGAAATTAGTTGTGCTGTCCATTTCTGCTCTGAAAGAAAAGTGACGGATGGGAGATCAAGTGTCCCTTTGATGACTAAAGAGTTGAAACACTTGGGAGGTGATTTCAACGTATGTAAATTCTCTAGTGGGGCCCATAGAAAGATTTTGAGATGGAAACATCTGATCTCAGTCCTTAAATAAGACAGGAATTGGTTGCATTCCAGCATCGAGTCTGTGGAGTGGGTAAGTTCTAGGAACAGAAATATAGGATAAGCCATCTCTCTTGTGATTTTAAAATATAGACAAGGAAAGAAAATAGAAAGATTTTTTTCCAGGAGCCTGTAGAAACGGACAGATCTCAGTTAAAGTGTGCAGCATCTAGATTCATAATTTCCTTCTTTTTAGCAAATATGTTCAAGGCACTGTGTTGCATTCAGGGTTTCTAACTGGGGCTCATATGTGTATATATACAAAATCTATGGATAACCGAATGTCCTGAATTATATGTGACTTTGTGTACTCTTGTCCATTTCTCTGGGAGAGATTTAGTTCTAGTTTTTATGAGATATAAACAACAAACCATGAAATTGAAAAGTATCTTTTTATTGGAAAAAGCATTAATTGTGGTCAATACATTTCACTATGAAGAAATCTGAGGTCCTGGCACTGACAATCTCCCTCTAGGATCGATATGACTTATCCCATCCCATTTAGGATGATGGAATGTATATAGAAAGCAAATGACAGGGAAAAGGAATCATAGTCCTTGTGTGGTGCCTCTATACTGCTTGTTCATGCTTCTTCTTATAAATTGCAGTATGAACTGTTTAGGAAGTTGAGATTGAGCAATCTCATGGCTCCTGGACATGTCTCAAGCAAATAGTAATACGATAATTTCAGTCATCAGAGAGAGGGATACTGAGGAATTTTTTTCTGGCTTATTCTTATAATTGAAGTCCTGTGTGGTGCTGTAGGATAAGCACTGGACTGCTAATTGCAAGATCAGTGGTTCAAAGCCACCAGCAACTCCTTGGAAACCCTATTCAGAATCTCTATGAGTCAGAACTGACTCAAAGGCACTTAACAACATATATATATATATATATTTTTTTTTTTGGAACGATGAGTTTGAACTATCCAAGTTTTCAAAATGTAAAATAGCCTCAAGGCGTCATATTGCTCCATCTGTCAATTTAACCCTAACTCTTAAGACAACATTTGGGAGAACGATGAGGCTTTCTGCCCTTGCAAAGATTAACAAACCTTGGAAGTTCTATACAAGTCACTGAGTCTGAACTGACTTGGTGGCAAGTCACAACATCAACTTGTAAGGATACATGAGTAGGGGCCAAGTCCTGAGGAAAGTAAATTGTAATGGGCCTCAATTTTATTACAACATCTTGTATTCTTAGAAGCCCCATACAATTGCTCTGAATAAATATTGGAATTGCTCTTAGTCCTGGACAAATTTCTCCTTGTATTTTCCCTTTATTGCAAAAAGGTAAAGGTACATGACCAATCTTTCACATTTTTAGAGCGTTCATAACATTCTTTTTGTTTTGCTACTTGTCTGTGTCACACCTGGCTGTGCAACAAAATGTAGCCTCCCTTGTTGCTCAAAGTTTTTCTGTTAATGAAAATAATAAATGTACAGGCCCCTTTTTTGTCTTGAAGTTGTATCACTAATTTCTGAGAAGACCCAGTTAATCTTCAGAAAGAAGATTATACAAATTCTGAGCCTTACTAAATCTCTTCAGTCTGGAAGCCTAGTTAATCACCTAGAAATAATTTCTTAAATGAATCTAGAACCTATATCTTTCTTCTATTTTTATCCTAAGGATGTCCTTGTTGTTAGTTGTTGAGTCAATACCAATTTATGGAAATTCAAGGATACATACCACTAATTCTTTACTTCCCTTAAAAGTTTTTCTCTTCTTCTTATAGACTACTTTCACATGTTTTTGAGACTAAATGAGTTTTCAAGAGAGTACATCAACACTAGTGAAATAGCCATAGTTTAAATCTCTTTTTGCTTTGAATGTCTGTTAGTCTTTGGGTACTCCCAGGCTTGGTGATTTTCACATCAATGAACACGTCTCATAGATGTGACTCACAGTATTTCCTCACACAAGAGTTAGTTTATTTATAATCTGATTGTGATCTGTTTCTTATATTCTGGCAATCTTAAAAAGAGTGGAAACATCTCACTTCTCAGTGCCAAGACTTTACTTGGTGCTTTTTGAATTTACAATGAAATGTGACCGCCAACAGTAGGTAATAGGCTTTAAATTTCATTATTTTTATTTTGGATTGGAACACTCAAGGAATGAAAATGGTGGAGGTAACTGACATTCCTAGGCTGTGGGGACATTGGGATGTGATAAGTCAAATATCTGTAGTAAGTCATCAGGAGTTAAATGTTGGAAGAAAAGGGGAAAGAGAGATAAGTAGAGATATAGAGGAAGAACCTGAGCATTTAATTTTGCCAAATTATTTTGGAAACCATAAAGTGCAGAAAGAGAAGCCATGAATGGCAAATGAATATTTTTTAATTCTATAAGTAGATTAGGAAGAAGAAGGGAATCAATCTAATGCAGAAATAAACATTTATGTCTTCAAAGATGAAATAGATATGAGATGTGCAAAGTACTGCTTCTCAAACATTACAGTACAAATGATCACCTGTGGATTATGTAGAAATGGCAATTGTGGTAGAATAGGTCAGAGATGGAGTCTGAGGTTGCATGGCTAACACATTTACATGCTTGCTAAATATTGCTGGTTTGTGGACCATACCTCAGGCAATCGGGCTGTAGAAAAGTGGTAAGTATTCAAGTGGAAAAGCATTTGGAAATGATAATGCTTTTTCAATTCCGTTTCAAAAGGGAACTAAGAATCCTGAAAAACATGACTTAATATTGTTAAGAAATTTGATTATAAAATTAAATGTACAGGGAAAAAATCTTTACAGTGAGGATCATTCCCATCCCCTCGATGCACAGGGTAGAAAGGGATGGGCAACTTGGACATTGGCTACCCAAAATGGGGGAACTACAAAGGCAAGAAGTGACTGGCTTATAAGCTTTCAAGAGGGAGCCTAGATTCAGAGGGCGAGGAGGAAGGTAGAGTCTCCACTGAGTAGTATCCAGTCTGTTTGGGAGGGGCTGGTAAAAGGAGATGGGGATAGATCTCTTGTGGTAAAAAAGAAAAAAAGATGAGAAAAGAAAAAGTTAAATGTACACAAAAAAAATCAGAAATCACCAAAAAGCAGCTAAACAAGGCTATTATTTATTTAGTTTGTTAATCTTATTGATGGTTGTTATCATTGTGATACAGATTTTTCTTTTTAATATATATACAATAGTGGCATCTAATATTTTAAGCAAATTAATCAGGACTTTTCTTCTTTAATTGTAGAGCTTTTAAAGTACTAGCCTAACATTTTCAACTAATTGAAAAAAAAAAAAAAGAGTCCACTATCTCACTTCTCTGATATAGTCTTCAAATCTCTACCCTTCTTCTGCAGGAAATAGTTGCAGAATCACACTTACCATACGAATTGATTGTCCCTAAATAGGAAGATTGTAATTGAAGTAACAGTGATCTCTTCTCTCTGAAAATACTAGGCTCCTGGGATTATAGTTTCCAGAAAGGTGATCTCCACATGTGGATCCGCTATGTGGCCCAATATTAGTGCTGCCCCCTTTTTATTGACTGGTTTCCGGGGTCTGGAGACAGCTCATCTCTGGATTTCCATCCCTTTCTTTGCAGTCTACTTCTCTGTGCTTCTTGGAAACGGCACCCTCCTCTACCTCATTAAGGACGACCACAATCTCCATGAACCCATGTACTATTTCCTGGCCATGCTGGCAAGCACAGATCTCATGGTGACTCTGACCACGATGCCCACAGTCATGGGTGTATTGTGGGTGAATTACAGGAAGATAAATCATGGGGCCTGCTTCTTGCAGGCCTACTTCATCCACTCCCTTTCCATTGTAGAATCAGGTATCTTGCTTGCCATGGCTTATGACCGTTGTATTGCTATCCGCAATCCCTTGAGATATACTTCCATTCTCACCAGTACTCGTGTGGTAAAGTTAGGAGTAGGAGTATTTCTGAGGGGTTTTATATCCATCATGCCTGTAATCGTGCGTCTCTTTTCGTTTTCATATTGCCACTCTCATACTCTCTCCCATGCTTTCTGCCTTCATCAAGAAGTCATGAAACTGGCTTGTGCTGATATAACCTTCAATAGACTCTACCCTGTAATTCTGGTTTCTTTAACAGTCTTCCTAGACTGTCTGATGATTCTCATCTCCTATATCCTAATTCTTAAGACTGTTATGGGAATTGCCTCTGGTGAAGACAGAACTAAGGCCTTTAATACCTGTATCTCCCATGTTTGCTGTGTTCTCATCTTCTATGTTACTGTGATTGGTCTGTCGTTCGTTCACCGGTTTGGAAAGAATGTACCACAGGTGGTCCATATTATCATGAGTTATGTCTACTTCCTCTTCCCTCCTTTAATGAATCCTATCATCTATAGCATCAAGACCAAGCAAATTCAATACGGCATTCGCCGCCTTTTGTTTAAACAGACTTGAAAGTTAAGTTTCATTGTGTCTAATTTCCATGGGAAATGGTGGATATGTAAGATTTCTCTGAATAAAGGGCCAAAGACTTCCACTATCTCTCAAAATCTGCTGTGGCAGCTTCCACATCTCTAAATGAGACATTACCATTCATAAAACTTTATAGAAGTGTATCTTTGAACTCACAGATTTGCTGTTCAATTCATGTGTTGGTTCAATTCTCCTAACCCTCTTTTTTTTTTCTCTTTAAATGCTAAATAGAAAACAGAAATATTTCTGATATGTCTGGAAGATGAATTGTAGTCTGATATTTTACTTTTTGTATATTAATTTGTTTTTATTGCTAAAAGGCTTAAAACTGTCAATTTCTTATATCTATTTGAATGTCTTATTTTGGGCTTTTTTGATATTTATTGCTCATTTTCTTGTAAGATTGTTTATACTTGTCTAGTCCTGATGTGGTGTTGTGGGTTAATGTGCTGAACTGCAAATTGTTTGAACAGCAAGGTCAGCAGTGCAAGCTTACCAGGAGCTCCTCGGAAACCCTATACAGGGTCAGTATGGGTTGGAACCAAATAGACAGCAATTAACAACAACAGTAACTATTCGTAGTAGGTCATTAAACAATAATAATTTACCACTTATTTCATAGTTTGTTAATTTGTCAGTCTATGTACAGAATTTTAAATTTTTATATAACTAATGATATTTTATCTACTGATTTTTTTTTTTTTTGCCAATTCCACTTCTTAAAATGATGTTTTGAATATTTTATTGTAGTTTTGATGAAGGTTTGCAGAGTGAGTTAATTTCCTATTTCAATTTACAGACGTTTTGTTATGGAACATTCCATGCAGGCCCTTTAATGTAACAGCACTTTTCTCATTTCTCTGGTTCCCACTTTTCACTTGTTCTTCTCTTCTGACCCTTCTTCCTGCCTTCTGAATGTTGTTTTTGGGCAAATGCTGTTCATATGGTATTGTGTGGTTCATTGTTCTGGAGTTTACATTCCTCTTGAGTGTTACTGTTCACTCTATAGGCCTGTCTGGTTTGGCTGAAAGTTCGTTGCAGGGTGTAGATTCAGTTTCAGGTTTGAAGGATGTTTAAGGGTCATAGTGCTAGGTTTTGTAGCCTCTATCAGAACAGTAAATCAAGTCTTTTTAATGACTTTTTTCTACAATTTTCTCTCACACGGTCTAGGACCTTCCATTATGATCCTAATCAGAATAGTCAGTAGTTATTTTCGTTGTTGTTGTTTTGAGACGCCTTCAAGTTCATTCCAACTCATAGGGATCCTATGCATAACAGAACAAAACATTGCTCAGTCCTGCACCAGCCTCACAATTGGTATGCTTGAGCCTGTTGCTGGTAATTGTCTGACTTATGACAGATGAAGTTTCACCATCCTGGCTTCAAAAAAGCATTCTGGCTGTACTTCTTCCAACACAGATTTGTCTATTTTTCTGGAAGTGCATAATACTTTTAATATTCTAACACCACAGTTCTTCTAAAGTCTTTGTTATTCATTGTCCAACTTTCATATGCATATGAGGCTATTGAAAAGGCCAGGCCTTGGATCAGGCACTCCTTAGTCCACAAACTGAAAGCTTTGCTCTTTCACAACAGACTTGTCAAGTGCATATGTCCTTTGTTTTCTTGACTGCTGCTTCCGTGAGTGTTGATTGTGGATCCAAGCAAAATGAAGGCTTTGGCAACTTACACCTTTTCTGCATTTATCATTATGTTATTTATTTGCTCAGTTGTGAGGATCTTTGTTTTCTTTACATCGAAGTGTAATCCATACAGAAGGCTGTGGTCTTTGATCTTCATCAATAAGTAATTTAAGTCCTTTTTACTTTCAGCAAGCAAGGTTGTATCATCTGCATATCACAAGTTGTTAAAGAGTCTTCCTCCAATCCTGATGCCATGTTCTTTATAAAATTCAATTGATCAGATTATTTGCTCAGCATACAGAATCAGTAAGTATGGTGAAAGGATATATCCCTGACTCACACTTTTCCTGATTTTAAAGTATTCAGTATCTCTTGTTCTGTTATAACAACTGCCTCTTGGTCTATATAGAGGTCCCTCAGGAGCACAATTAAGTGTTCTGGAATACTCATTCTTTGCAATGTTATCCATAGTTTGTTGTGATACACACAGTGGAAAATCTTTGAAAAGCCTATAAAACATAAGTGAACATCTTTTTACTATTTTCTGCTTGCAGCCAAGAATCAATTGACAGCAGCAATGTATCTCTAGTTCCACGTCTTCTTTTGAATCCAACTTGAACTTCTGATAGTTCCCTGTCAATATATTGTTACCACCATTTTTAAATTATCTTAAGCAACATTTTGCTTGTATAGTCTTAATGATTTTGCTTGATCATGTCTGTATTCTCTTATGTCACCTCAGTAGTAGTCGTAGCCAGCATCATCTAGTGCTTCTGATCTCAGGCTAGTTGATACTGGGGTTCATGTGGTCCATTATTCCTTTGGAGTAATTGTTGCCTTAAATCTTTGATTTTCTTCACTCTTCTTTGCTCTGGTTTGGGAGAGAACAATTGCTGCATCTTAGATGGCTACTTGAAAGCTTTTAAGATCCCAGAAACTACTCTCTAAAATATAATGTAAAATGTTGTCTTTGTGGGCTATGTTATACTAATTATGACTATGATTCTAAGTTCCCAACATCAGTGACTCAATCTCTCAAGGTATTTGTTTATGACTAATATGTTTTTGCACCTCATTTCCTGTATATGCTATTACATATATGGATGTATTTACAGTACATATAAATAAATATGCAGAAATAATCAGTGACAAATATATAAAAGGGACCTTCCAAAAGTTTATTAAAAACTGGGATTAAAAATAATTAAATTTCTCCACAAATATTTGACATCCCCTTGTATGCTGTGGGTATACTCCCATGTTATCCACATATGTTCAATTTGCATATCTATCTATAGACTCATGTGTACATTACTGTTTATTGTTACTTACTGCATGATTATGTATGTAATATTATTTACCATTTTTGCCTTTTACTCTGTATACCTCTCAGTGTCTTCCTTTGCCTTGGTCATGTTGTGCTATTCTGCCTCTTATTGCATATTGCTTTTCTCTTCACCCAAGTTAATAACTGTCTACTATCTAATTAGTGATTTTCCGTCACTGTTCCCCATCCCTTATAAATATCAAAGAATGTTCTGTTGAGATTCTGGAACCATATAATAAAGGCCTCTCCAATTGTAGGCTTATTTATATATTTTCTTTTTGCATAATTTTTAATACATATCCTAGTACTGGTTTGGTACTGTAGGATAAACTCTGAACTACAAGGTCCATTTGAACTGCAAGGTCAGTGGTTCAAATCCCCAGCTGCTTCTCAGAATCCTATACAGGTTCACTATGAGTAAGGAGTGACTCGAAGGCACCTAACAATAACAACATGCTATGATAGCTTAAGGAATCCTGGTTTCATAGTGGTTATGAGTTGGGCTGCTAACCTCAAAGTCAGCAGTTCAAAACTAACAGCCGTTCCATGGGCGAAAGATAAGGCTTTCTGCTCCCATTAAGACTTACAGCTTTGGAAACCCTATGCAGGGTCGCTGAGTTGGAACCAACTCCACAGCATACCACCACATGATAGGTTAGTATTTGGTGGAGTGTAAGATGGTGTTGCATTTTAGGATCAGTACTGGACTGCTAACTGAATGGTTGGCAATTTCAACTCACCAGCTGCTCTTTGGAAACCCTATGCAGCGTCACTATGAGTCAGAACTGACTTGATGGGCATGGTGTTGTATGATCAGCACTGGACTGTGAATCACAAGGTTGCCAGTGCATACCCTCCAACTGCTCCTTGGTAACCCTGTACAGGGTCACTATGAGTTGGAACCTACTTGATGACACTTAACAACTTAACAACAACAACAAGGTATTTAGATAATCTTGGTCTAGGATAATGACTGGATTGTTAACTACAAGGTCAGTCATTCAAACTCACCAGTCACTGCTCAGAAACCTTATACAAGGTCGTTATGAGTCAGAACTGACTCAATAATACTTAACAACAACAGCACTAACACTAAGGAGTTCTGGCTGCACAGTGGGTTAAGTGCTAGCCTGCAAACCAATGTCAGTGGTTTAAACTTACCAGATTCTCCACAGGAGAGAGATGAGGCAGTCTGTTTCTGTAAGGATTTGCAGTCTTGGTTGCTGTAAGTAGGAACCAATTCAATGGCAGTATTTGTTGTTTTGTTTTTTTAAGCACTGATAGTCACTCAGTCAATTGGTCGATTTTTGAGGACAAGAGATAAGAATGATGCTAGGCCAAATTTACTTAAATGCAAAAGTAGACATAAACTATTTACTCATGTAGACTAGAAGTCACTGGAGATCCAAAAATCAACAAACCCAAATTTAAAAATCTCCTATGATTAGTGATTAAACAGAAGAAAAACTGCATTGAGGAAGTAAGTCTCAAAAAGAGTCATATCCAGATTGAGGTAAGGGAATGGTGTTCCCTGAGGAACTGTCCTTACAGTTGGCATCAGAGGATAGATTATAAATTAAATGGTGAAAACTGGAATAAGAATATTCTAAGAAGAAACAAGTAAATACAATGGTTTTTATAAGGACTTCATCATGGAACTTTCCAGAGAATGTGGAGACACAAATAGAGAGATTACTGAGGAAAAACAGGAGAAAGGAAGTAAAATCATATAATATCCTGTTGATTGAAGTAAAAACTTATTTGTCTAACCAAAGAGTCACAGAAACCTATTGAAATTTTAAACAGAAAAGTGACTAACTTCATTGATGTCTACAGATGATAATTTTAGTTGTTGTGGGCTGGTATGAGGTAAGAGAGAAACAAGAAAACCAATAAAAGGATGTTTAGTTTCAAACTTATAAGGAAAATCCTTCTGTGTGAGTACTTGCAGAGAGACTGAAAAACTGACCAGGAGACAACTTGAGAGATATTGCTTTATTCCAACAGGGAGA